CAGCTATCCCTCTTGTTGGACCTATAGACCTGCCTACCCTTCAGAGTCTTTCACTTTCTTCATCCTCTTTCATCTGTGAAATGCCAAACTGTGGTGCTGTACGTGTGTTTGATGTCTTCAAATAATAGTGGGGGCTTCATATCTTAACATAGAGTGATTTTTGGAAATCAGATGCTTAGGCTATTCCTGGCCAGTGATATCTCCTGAATATCTTTGGACAAATGATGTTGTCTTTGCAATCCCTTATCATTCAATACAGGCAGTATACTGATCTGTACATAGAATTGTATGATGTAGGGATGAGAAGTGCTATATAATGACAGCCCTGATTACCTTTTTATTAAACAACTATAATAGTCAGATAGCTCATTGGTTTTCTTTTATCATGACTAAGTTAGTTTAATTCTAATGGGGAATAGCTGAGAGCAAGCAGCATTTGAACGGGAAAATTGTTTGTGTACATATCTGACATGTACAGTTGTTTTTTATAGTGTGCATTCATTCTACTTCTTCATATAGTTCCTTTGCAGTGAAGTCTTTCTTGATTTTTATTTTTAATCCTCTCCACTCTACTGTCCATCAGGTGTTCAGTTCCCGACAAGCACTAAATGGCCACGCTCGCGTTCATGGAGGTACAAATCAGGTGACAAAGCCACGATGCACCATTGCAGGCACTAAGCAGAAATCTGGTACACAGAGCGGGTACTGCTCCATCAAGAGTTCACCTGCCCACAGCACAACAAGTGGCGAGACCGATCCAACAACAATTTTTCCTTGTAAGGAATGTGGCAAGTAAGTGAATATAACTGTCTGCAGTGCTGCACCACCTCTGCTATTTATATTTCAAATGAATACTATTGCAACAAATTATTTATTTTGCTCTCATGGTCTCGAAAGAACAGTTTCCCCATAAAGCATCATGTTCTCTTACCAAATTCTTCAGAGGTTTTGCATGACAGTTTGGAGGTTTGCATGACAATCTGGATGCTTCCCCTGCAGCATTTCATCTAATATTCCTGAATTTACTTCTCTATTAGAGTTCCTACATGTGACACTCCAGTTTCCTGCTTCATTACAGACTTGCACGGCATGGGCGTGGGTAACTTTCTCTATTTCTTTGCTTGAGTTTGTCCATTCTAACATGAGATTCCTTCGCTTTCTGCCTTTTGTGTAAGAATGTAGTGAAACTGAGCTCAGGCAGAATTAGGATGTGCATAGATACTGAAGCAATTGCAGGAACTGCAAAATAGCTTCAGCAGAGTCAGAGTAGGCCATTTTGATGCTGACAGGATGTACAAATCTGGTAGTCTGTCCCTGAAATTCTCACCATGGCATTGCAGACTTCTATTTCAGGACAAGGAGGCAAATGTACTGATAGGTTGTTGAGTGTTTTTTGGCTCCCTTCATCAAAAGCAATGTACTTTTATCTGCTTTTTTTTTTTTCTTTAAAATTTTAGAGTATTTTTCAAAATCAAAAGCCGCAATGCTCATATGAAGACACACAGACAACAAGAAGAACAGCAAAGGCAGAAGGCTCAGAAAGCTGCAGTGGCAGCAGAAATGGCAGCCACTATTGTGAGAACTACTGGGCCAGCTGGGCATAGTTTGATCCCTCTGGATCACATGAGTTTGGTTAAACATGTTGGAAATGTCGGTGACATTGATGACGATGTTGTTCAGGAGTTAGGTGGCGTCATGGAAGAGAATGAAGTCATGGATGCTGACCTTTTATTGGATGATGAAGATGCAGATCTACTGCAGGATGATGCTGAGTTGTAAATAAAGTTGCTTGATAAAGACAGCTACTGAGCACACCCTGAATGCATCAGTCAGGGAACCTGGACTGTTCATTTATTCCCCACTGATTGTAAACTACCTGATGAAAAATGATAATTCTTTTATCCAGGTCCAGAAAAGAAATATGCTTTTTTCCCTTTTTTTATTAATTTGTGTTTCTGGGGGGAGGAAATAAATACTTGGTACAAATATTCTTATAAGGTGTTTTATCTGGGCTTATTTTGCTGGTATCTTCCAAGGCCAGTAATCGGAGAAGTTCATGGTTCTACTGTCATCTCCCTCGGTAGGATCTTTAGTCTTAAACTCTTCCAGGTTTCACTTTACCCCACTTACAAGGATATCTTCACACATTTCTGATGGATTTTTTTTTTTTTTTTATTTTTTGACTGCACTGGATCACTTCCAGCATCTTCTAGAAACTAAATGTCATCTTTATTAAGGAGATGATTATGTTCTTTTTCTTTGTGCTGTCATTTTAAGGGAAGTAGAGAAAAAAATCTGCTTTAACTGTGAAATAAATACAGGAGTTACTGTATCATCTTTAGTATCACAGTACTTTTTCAGTTCTGTCTTGCCTTAATGCATATATGTTAGGCAGTTCATAAAAGCTTTGGTTACACTGTACATTTTAGAGCTTCATTTCTAACAAGGCTTTGATCTGCTGATTTTAAAATGACCTAATTCAAGGATTGAAGAAAGATGATTGTGCTGTGGTTCACATCAACTCATGGGAACACTGAATCAAGAACACTGCCTTGGCAATCAGATTGCACTGGAAATATATTTTGATGTGACAATAAATCACACTGTTGAATAGCCATGTCAGTGATTTTAGGAACATATTTTTGAACATTGCAGGAGCTTGCTCTCTTAATAGGCAAATACAGGGAGACATTCTTGCCTGTGGAACAGAGATTGATGGAGTATATGCCTTCAGCATATGTTAGTTATTATTCCTACACATGAAGTGTTGTTCTTGTGCCATTTTCAGTCTTCCTCATTACATCAAATTCAGTGTTGTTTACTTCATAAAACATATCTCAAAGGTGAGGTGATGTTGCTGTTTAATTACTGTTTCTCTTTCTTCAGGCTCATATCTACCTGCCTGATGTCTACATTCACTTCTATAAATTTGGATTTGGTTTTCTACTTCAATAAAATCTAAAAATAATTGTACCCTACAAAATCTTTAGAAATTTTAGAACCACGGGAAGAAGTTGAGTTAGATTGAGTGGACCTTTAACAATAGAACAAGAGCAATGATTTTTGAACTTTCACAGGTAGTAGCACTGATTTTCTTGTGAATCTTTCACAGTGGAGGAAAGTTGCTAATTTTATAAGATATTTTGTAAGACTGACTTCAGATCTTCCAGTTTCCAGTTATTTTATGGGTGGGTTTTTGTTTTTGTTTTTTTTGTTGAAGTCTTTTTGCCACATTTCTAACATTTTAAGTGGACTCTGAGAGATGGAGGATCTTATTTTCTACTGTCTGTCTTTTTTCTGTAACTATGCAAAATGAGGGTAAACCACAGTACTTTTGTATAGGAGTACTGGACTACAGTTTCAAAACCAGTGGGACTCACTAGCAGAGAGGTGACTTCTCTGTCAAAGCCAAATACACAAATTCGAATGGCCTGAAGTTTTCACTTCATGTCAAATGTTCTGATAGCAAAGAACAACCCTTTAGGAGAACAGCAGTCACTTCTCAGTTTTAGTTTAGTGAAGTTCCCGTCTATGTGGTTTGTTCTATTTGTCTTGGGGGTTCAGAGACTTTTTAGTTTTGACCAGAGGGTGGGATTTTGCTCCCATTGCTACAGAATGGATGATGTTCTCAATCGCTGTGCCTGTGTGTTTCAGGAGATGAGGCACCAGCCTTCTTTTTTTTCCTGAACTATCTGTCAGCACACTTCCAAACAATTCTGTCCGTGCTGTGACACATCACTTTCACAGGGCCCATGCAACCCAGGTTCAGCTGGCTGAGTGCTCAGCTGTGTGCTCCCGGCTAAATCCCAATGGTAAATCTTGCAGTCTGCACAACTCTTAGTGTTTGCAAAGTGGGAGCTCTGGTGAGCTGTGACCTGGGTTGGCTTCTAGGGGCCTGTGGCACAAACAATGCAGTAGAGCCTGCTTCCTCTTCCGAGCCTGTATCATTTTGAATTTCAAGGACCTCTCTGAGAAAGGCTGCTACCCTGGCAAAATGGAAACATTTTCAGGTTCCCGTCTTGGTGGTGGGAAGAAAGCTGTGTGAAAGCAAAATGGTCATGGAAGTCAGTGAGAGTTCTTCTTGAGGAACGGAGTACAGTAGGAACTTGCGGGCTCCATTCTGAAGAGCGGCTTTGTGCTAAAGAATCTACAGTGAAATCTCTCTAGCAACAGCTGGGCAGGTACCTGTGCTGCACCTGGCGTGGATATATAAATACATGTGTATATATGCCTGGTTCTGTCATAGCGGTCGGGTGCCGTTGTACCGTACAGCCAAGACGATCATCCAACAACAACCAAAGAAACCACTCACAAAGACAAAAGAAGCAATTTCTTACACAGTACACGGTTCAGGCACCTGACATGGACTTCCCCAAGTGTGGCACTGGCTGCTGTTACACAGCTGTTGTTCTCTTTGTACATATGTCGGGCAGTTTTGTTTCAGACAAGCTCTTTTATTACTGATGGTTGATGATGGAAAACTGTTCGCTGTTCAACTCGGTCCTCTTTGCTAAAACCTGTACATACAGAAAACATATTTTATGAGAAAAAAAAGAAAATCTTATTTTCAATATTTAACTGTTATTTTATTAGAAGATGGTTGTACATATTTTAGGTGCTTTAGTGTAAAAAAAAAAAAAAAAAAAAAAAAAAAAGGCAGACTGTTAATTTTAGGCGGCAGAGGAAGTAACAAAATAAAAATATCGATGCGTTTCATACAGCCTGTGATCTGTGCTGGTTTCAGGTCCTGCTGTCAGCAGGGAACGCGTGTGACAGGCGGCAGCGCCCTTGCGGCCAGCCCGGCTCCGAGGGTTCGCCGAGCTCAGCCCGCCTGCGGGCGCCACACGGGCTGCGGCGCCCTGCCTCCGCCTCCCCCGCGCGCGGCCCTGCCCGCCGGTGCCGCAGTGCTACGCCTGAGGGGACCGCGGCTCCGCCATGCCGGCAGGGGGCGCTCTTCCGTAACCAGGACAGCGGGCAGCGGAAGGTGGCGGATGAGGCCGCTCTCTATTTCCGGGTCGCGCTCTTCTGGCTGGAAGCAAGATGGCGGCGCTGTGCTTGTGGAGGAGGCTTTGGCAGGTGGGGAGTGTTTCCTGGGGGCCAGTCCTGTTCGGTGGTGTCCCTTTAGCTGCGGGTTAGGCTTCTGTGGTGTGGGGCCGCGCTTCTGCCCGTCGCCATACATGTCGGGGGTTCGGAATGCCTTGTTTTATAGTCTGTCGTAACCATCGCTCTGGTTGTAAGGGGGTAACGAGAAGCAGTAACTGGGATCTGGAAGTCTGGAACTGAGCTTGTTTCTGGTCTTGAATCTACAGTGTGAAAACGGGAAAATCTTTTCAAATATAAGGGGAAATGGTTTTAAGCTGAGGGAAGGGAGATTTAGGTTGGACGTCAGGGGGAAATTCTTTACGGAGAGAGTGGTGAGGTACTGGAACAGGCTGCCCAGGGAGGTTGTGGATGCCCGTCCCTGGAGGTGTTCAAAGCCAGATTGGATGGGGCCCTGAGCAGTCTGGTCTAGCATTAGGTGGAATGGTTGGTGGCCCTGTGTGTGGCAGGGGGGTTGGAGATTCATGATCCTTGAGGTCCCTTCCAACCCTGGCAATTCTGTGATTCTGTGATGTTTCTGCTGTTGCAGACTTTGAAAAGCAATTGCCTTCTCACACGTTGGGAGGATTTTGATGTGATGCATTTCCCATTGGGTTTCTGAAGCCCCTGACTCTCTCCCTGTGTGCATGTGCTGCCCTGTGGACTCGCTCCCCTTGGAGGCATCCATCTCCTGTGTGCTCCAGGATCTCCTCCAACCAACTGAGGCTAATTGGCACTGGGAGTGTTTCAAATTGGGAATTGAATTCTGTATCACTTTGATTGTCTCTTCTAAATCCAATGGCAGGCATTAGCGAGAGGGCATGAAGTATTTAAACCAGAAGGTAAAAGAAGCTGCTAAAACACTTTAATGCTGAATGCTATCTTTGTTACATGGGATACTGCAAGTATTGCTTTATTCGAGTTTGCACAGAGCACCTTTAATTTTACTTTACAAGAACTTTGGATTCAGTGCATAGTTGCACTTTTAGTGACAAAAGAGAGCTGTAGGTGGTTGAGATAATATGCACAATTATGCAGTACTGTAAAGACTAGAGTTTGGTTAGTGGGGTGGAGCTCTACTGCTTCATGTTCTGTTCTATTTGTCTGTTGTACAAGGGATGTGCCTTATGTATTCTAAAGCACAGGACATGGTACATGGTATGCATGCTATAAGGGTGTGCATCTTTGCCTGCAAATAAGTAATCTATTCTCCAAGGCCAGGTAGATAAAGCAACAGACTACATAACAGAGACTGCATATGCACAAAAACAAAGCACTGATTGAATTCCTGATTACTTTTTTGGTCTTCTTACAGTAGCATATTACTTACCCAATGATTGCCCAATCTGTAATCTCCCATTTGTCATCTGCATAGGTTCTGTGTCAGGTACTCACACACACAGTGTAAGCCCTTTGCTGAATACAAACTTTTACACTTACGGGCATATCTTTTCCCTGAGGTGATGTCAGGTGATGATAGTGTACTTCATACTGCTTTTGAATGAGGGGAAGATGGTATTCTGATTTCAGACACGTTAATTTAGCCAAATGGGGAGTTAGTAGTAGGAAGCTAAAAGCCGTGTCAGAAGAGAGAGATTTTTCTGGTATGAAAGATGTATGGTATGTCTTAATTGACATTTGAGTTCACTACTTACCAAAGAAAAAAAAAGTTCAGTAATTAATGTGTTTTTTGGAACTGTTTCTGTGTTCTCTTCAACAGGACAAATATTCAAAACCACAGGGAAGGTTTTGTTGGAAAAAAAAGTGAAATTTCAAGTTAAGTTCAGAAGCTGAATTTTTCCATAGTATCTTTTATAGGACACTTCTCAACTGCTTTTACAGCAGCAAGTCCTACTTATGTTCATTTAAGGAGGTTTCACTGTACTGTCAAAGTAGAACTATAGAGAAAACATTACTATATATAAAAATGGTATCTGATACCACACAACATGTGTTTTCTAATAAAGAGTTACTTTGTGATTGCTGTTTGGGTGCCTGGTTAATCATAGCTGTAAACTGTTGTATTATTTCCCTAATGTGTGGGATTTCTCTTGTTGTTTCTGTTTGATGATTGTTTGTCTGTTTGCTCTGTGAGATCTGCATATGTGTGGAGGGGGCTTGCTGTTATTTTTATGGCCCAATTGAAAATAATTCCATGCTCCTGTTTTCCTGTGTTTTCCGATGGAGCAAGCTTTACAGTTTGGCAGATCAGTGTCAAGCAATGCGTTGTGCTCTGTTGCTCATACAAGTAACCTTTGATAAACCTGTATTATTTGCTGTCTACTTTCCAGTGAAGAAAAAAAAGCAATTTGACCATTTGTTTTATACAGGGATCATCTTTTCCTGTCAACTATGCAAGCAGAGTTATGCAAAAGCAAAGTTTTCTTCCGTAAGTTTAACAGACCTCCTCCCTTCCACTTTTTCCCCACGCTTCCTCAACAAGTGCAACTTCAACATTAATTTCATGCTCTCCCCATAAATCTAGAAACTTTGACTTGGTGGGAGGACGATTCTCTGGATCCCATGTTCATACAGAGGAGCCTAAGACTAATCCTCTGGTAAGTGTTTCATGGAACAGGGTATTGTATGCCATCGTAATTATGAAGAGAATAGAGAGAAGTAAATCCCTCTATTTCAGGTGGTTTGTTTTTTTTTTTTTTTTTAAGTCTCTATGATGTCAAATTGGCCTTAGAGTAAGAAACAGTTTAGATTACTGCTGTTTGAGATTGTATTTTCAGCATGATTCCTGTACCTCAGTCGCCTCTTTATTGCTTTCCTCCTCTGTAGTGTCTGTGTTTTGGCTTTAGGAGAAAAGCCATGTTGATAACACACCAATGTTTTAGTTACTGCTTAGCAACACTGTACAGAGCCAAGGATGGTTTGTTTATCAGCTTCTCTTACTGCCCTGCTAGCAAGGGGAATGAGGGGTAAGGGAGGGGGCAGGACCAGGCCAGCTGACCTGAACTGGCCAAAGGGATATTCCGTATCATAGGGCGTCTTCTTGTAAAAGCTATGAAAGTGAGAGGAGTTGACTGAGGGGCTGCTGCTGCTCGGAGACTGGCTGGGCATCGATCATTGTATAGGGAGCAGATGTGTTATGCATCCCTTGCTTTGTGTATGTGTGTATAGAGTGAGAGAGGAACACGTACACATATACAATATTTACATATTTCTTTATATTATTTATTTACGTATTACATTACTATTGTTTTTGTCCTCTTTCTTTTCTGTTGCAGTAAATAGTTCTTATCTCAACCCACAAGTTCTACTTTGTTTTTTTTTTCCCCCCAGTTCTCTCCCCACTGGGAGGGGGCAGTAAGTGAACAAATTGTGGTGCTGAGCTGCCTGCCAGGTTCAACCACAATGCAAAACCAGCCTTCCTGCCACATCTGCTGCGTGCTGAAGTTACTGCTCTGAATTGCATGAGAGTAAACCAGAGCTTTTCAGATGAACAGTGAGCCCAGGCCATTAGAAATAAATACTCAAACTAAGAGTCATAAAATTGTAACTTGGAAGTCACAGACTTCTAACCTGGGCAAATAGAAAGGATAATATGCCTGGGGAAGACCAGTATATTTAAATAGCTTTATTTTAGGAAGGTGAGAATTCTTGTACCCGACCATAATGATAACCAAGAAAAGTTTGAGAATTTCATGTGTTTTCACACTTCTATTTAGAATGCTCATATTGCTGCTCCAAACTTGCTTTAACAAGAAGTTATTTTTCTTGCCTTTGCAAATGTCCTTTTAGCTGCCATTCCCTTTGCATTCTTGATTTTTGAGAAATTTTGCCTGAATATTCAGAAGTTAGGTTTCTCTTCACACTTACCAGGGACAGTCAGATGAAGGATCTCTGTTGATTGAGATTAATACAGTTATCCTCTTGCAAGTTAAATATCAAATGAGCAGATAACAATGTGTGTGTTGTTTTTTTTTTTTCTTTTACAAATGGGACACGTAGGCTAAGAAGATATGTAGTGATTGGATTAATAAAGGAGAACATGGAGTGGTAACATTTACCTTTTCTTAAAAAATGCAGGTGTCTATTTCAGATGAACCAGAAATACTGTACCGGAGACTGTCCCTTTTAGTTAAAGGCCACGATAAAGCTGTATTGGACAGCTACGAGTATTTTGCAGTGCTTGCAGCTAAAGAACTTGGCATAACTGTTGAAAAAGTGTAAGTAGCTGATCTCTAGCATGATGTGATGTCAGATGCTTTTTACATGATCTACTGTAATTCAAATTCCGTGCTTACAAGTATTTCCTTTTTTAGAAGAAATGAGTTTAATCTCACATGCCTTCTCAGATTATAAATCTGACACTTCTTAGATGGTAGCGTGGTGATGAGAAAGCAGAAGCAGTGCTACTTGCAGTGCTGCCATAGTAGGATTGCATTGTAACTGCATGAAAGATACCAGGAATACTCTTGTTACAGTCATCAGTGCTGTAGCTACATACTAACCTGTACCAGTACTTCATACTGCCTTGTGGATCTTCTAAATGTCAGATAAGAACAGAGATTTCACCATAATCTCAGATAATTTCTATTAACATCATTTATTTAAAATTCAACATTACAGCATCTTCTCTTTGTTCTTTGTTCAGACATAGACCTCCAAAGAATATAGAACGACTTACGCTTTTAAAATCTGTACACATTTACAAGAAGCACAGAGTTCAGTATGAAATGAGAACACATTACACCTGTTTGGAGGTAAGAAAGATGTAAAAGGAAGAAATATTAACTCAGTTAGCTTGGGAAGATGAATGCTGGGGATATAGCAGGAGGAGAGCGCTGATGTAGCTACATCAAATGTAGCACAAATTATTCTGAATGTGCAGCTCATCTAATTTTTGTCTACAAGGCTGATTTTGACCAGTATATAAAAGAATGATTTAAAAATAAGGTAGATATCAGAGTTACCTTTACATATTTTATGCTCTCAATTTCCAATAATCTGTAGGATAAGAACTTTCTCAGGAAAGGGAAGATGCTGCAGGTAAGTCATTGTCATGGCAGTAACTCAGAGTTCTGTTCTCCATGAGTTTGCTTGATATTTTGAATGCTTTTCCCCTATGCAACATCATGTGACAAACTAAAATTGTAAGGGGAGAAATACCAGAAAGGAAGTGTGTACAAACCACTAGTTCTGTGGCTGATGACACAGACTTCATATATGGTTTAGAATGCAGCTGTGGTTGACTTTCTTAGAATAAAAGTTTACTGCCAGCATTTTGTGGCCTGTAGGTCTATTATGGTGTAGTTGTGCTTGGTAAAATGTGTCTCTGCCCTCAGTCCTCAGACAGTAGAGCATTGCTGATGGCTGCCCACAGACCATAAACATAACATCTGCTTTTCAAGAGAAACTAGAATCAAGAACACGGTAGAGTTCTGGAATTGGGTGATTTCAATCCAGCTTGAATTTTGAGAGTATAAAAAAGCTGTGAGTTCTTGCATAACCTGCAGTTTGATCTGATACTTGCAGTATTAAGGTCCATTTCTATAATGATCAATACGTATGAACACACAGTATATATACAGTTCTGTATGGAATTGCTATTTTATACTTGCATAAGATATGTACTGCTTACTTGCCTGTGTTGAATTTTGTGGGAGCTGGCCTAGTGTAAGATGCTTGGACCCACTGCAAAAACTAGAGAAGTCAGAGCAAACTCCTTTTTTTCATATTCTGTTTGAAGTATTAGTAATAGTCCTAAAAAAACACATTACTTCTGTTTTAGTTAAAACACCTAACGGGCAGTACTGCTGCAGTGTACTTAGAGTATGTTGAACGAAACTTACCTGAAGGGGTTGCCATGGAAGTAAAAAAGGTAAGTTTCCATCTCATTTTATTAACTGCTGTGAGATTAAGTCTGGATGCAAGTATTAATAATTACTGAATTCTTTAGAAAGTCAGTAGAAGAAACACGCATAGTTTGTAAAGACTGTTTTTTCTAAATATTGAAAGGTAAGGAGGCTGTATTATTCAAAAACGTCACTAGGTGGCACTTCTAATCCCATAAATATCCAAAACCAAAATGAACAAGGCATAGCAGTTAGATGCTAACTAGTTGGAATAATAAATTGTTTCCTTCCTTCCGTACTAGACTAAGATAGAGAAAATACCTGAACACATCCAGGAGCCAGTTTGGGATACTCTACCTCAAGTAGAAGAAACAGAAGTCAAATCATGAATTCACCAGGTACTTGGGTGTTAGTACTGGAACTAGTTGCTCCTATCAACTAATTTACTAAGACAATCTACTGATAAATAAAAGTCCTGTTTTATAAAATAATTATGTATATTCTTGTTTTACTGAGTTATTCTTGATCATAGCTCCAGAACTTTTAGACTAACTAAACATCTATGAAGTGAAGAAGCTTGACTGCACGCTGTGATCAAAAACTGTGATCATCTGTAATGTTTTTAGAAGGTTAAAACATATTTATAAATAACCTAGATCCCCATTTGACACTGAGTGGCTTCTGAATTCTGAAATTCATAGAAGATACTGCTTGCTTTAGTGTGAAGTTTAAGGTAAAGGATGCCAGACTGTTAGACATTTTTTTGTTAGTGGTGCTTTGAAATAAGTAAATCCCAGTTGCATATACAGCTTGTGTATTAACATATAGTATGTCAGAAAATGCAGTCTTAAGGAACACTGAGATATAGTGAGATTTTTCTGTGCTCTTATAGTTCCAATAGCCTCATTTCCAGTATTATTAACTGTTTGCTAAAAGGAGAATGCATTGACTCCAGTACAAATACGAGCTTTCTACAGTTGTAAGTCTCTAATTTTATGAAGTAGCTGTAGGACCATGTTGCAAAGTAAATGGATACTAGAAAGTGTCGTTGTACATAGGACAAATGGTGCATTAAATGCCTTATTTCACTGCAGGGAAAGGTACAGCCTTTTTCTAAAGTGGTGGATTGGTTATTCAATAAACCTAGTCTAGCTGGACACAGGTTATGCTTAGAGGGAGAAAAAAGAGTACAGATAGCAAAAGGGTGCTCAGCTAACTTGAAGGTTACTTCACTCTGAATCGAAAGAGATGCTGCTAGTGCAAAACAATCAGTGACTTCAGACTGCATTAAGCACTTTGGTTTTACTAGGTTAGCAGGTAGGACAGAGCTGTAGAAATCTACTTTGGCTGTAATTTAATTGCTGTTAAAATAATTTACGTAAGGAATACCCTTGACCAAACAGGCAAAGAGCCTGGACCATACTTGCTGACAGTACTCAAAGTCACATTCACAAAAGAAAAGAAGCTTAGTGTTGTTATCAGACAGGAGTGCAGAATCTTAATGGGAAATAGCTGAAAGATGAGAAACCAAGCTTGTGCTTGAAGATCAGGTATGTTTTCTAGTTGTAGAGAGGCCCAAAGTTGTTTTAGAAGAGTCAGTAAAACTGGTATCGTTTGTGACAGAAGGGAAGCTGCCTGAGCATCTTCTGCAGTATGCCCAGAAAGCAAAAAAACGTGGTTAATCAAATCCCTTAGGAGAGGATATACTGCCTGGTTATCCCTTGAAAGTATTTGCTTTCCACAATTTCAAGCTGTTCCTTTTTCTAGTATAATATAGCATTTCTTAAAATCATATCAGATATTATATAACAGTAAGGAAGAAACTATGTGCTGGCCTGGTTAAATAAAACTGATGCTTCAGAGAGGAAGAGCTGCTTTCAATTCTGTGTGATGTTTTCTTCAAATTTGCCATGTCTTAGTTTTGCATAAGCCACCTGCCAAATCCCAGCTGTATATAGTATCAAAATGCGCTTGTGCTCAATACTAAGTCTTCTACCTCTTAGTTCGACGATCAGTAAGGTTAAAGGGTTGTCTTTTATTGTCTTTGGTGTTCTATTCTGGGCCTTCAGTTTCTGATTAAATGGCCAGTCAGTGTGGCTTTTCAGTTGGCTGACAGTTTTAGTTATCAGACCTTAATAGGATCAGACTTAGGTAGCAGCTGTGGAAAATATTAACCCATATAAGCAGCTGCCAGGCAGGAAGGCATACTTTATCCTTGGAAAGGTGTTATTAGTGGAGAATTTTTTGCCTGCAGCCTCACCGTATACTGGGGGAAGCCAGTCTACCTTTAAAACAATCTCTGGACCTCAGCAGCATTGACAGAACTGTACTTAGCAGTTGTCACAGATTACCTCCACCCTGAGAAAGCAGAATTACCTGTGCAGAGTCTGATTGTTACAGACCAGTATTTAACAGAACTGCTTTGTAGGCCATACTTCTCATCCTTATTTTTCCCTGCACAAAGCTTTTTTCTTTTTGAGACTGTAATCCTTTGTTACCTGCTGTAGTCTTCCCTCCATATTTAGGGATTTCCTCAGGCATAGCAACACCTTTATTTATGGTTGTGCCTTTGCATAACACAATAACTGCGGTATTTTCTGATCATCTTTTTTCATCTACTGATGTGGCTTCTGACTTTCACAGCAAGTTCCTGATCCTCACTTAAGATCTTTGGATTAACCACACTGTCAGTAACCCTTTTGATTCTTTACTTCTTTTCCTGTTCTTTTAGTACACATTTTAGAGGAAGTAAGAAAATGCAATGCTTCACATTACTTATAAACAACAGTATTCGAGCATTGTTTTCTTTTAATTTAGACCTCCAAAGCTTAAATGACATGCAGGCAGATTTGTAATTTTTGCATTCACAGAACAAAATCACCAGGATCACTGATTTCATGCCCTGAAGTAAAGGCAACATACCCTTCATGGGATTTTCTGTGCATCTCAACAAAGTATTCCTACCTTTTGAGAACTCCAGACTGAGTCTGAAACAGTCGAGGCACTGTCAGTATTGCTGTGTGTATCAACTGATACTTCCTCCTCTTAGTGGTTTTCTGACATGGAACTAAACAGAATCCTTAGCATTAGTTCAAAATCAGTACCCTTTTTGTAAAGGAAACTAAGATGAAAAGTCTTGATAACATTCAGTAGAAAGCTCAACTTTCAATATGCTGTAGCCCTCAGTTTCACCCTGTAGCCTGGACACAGATTATTAATACTGCTGCTCTCACCTCTGGCTGATACTTCATTAGCCCTATCTAACAAACAAATATTAACCCAGGTCAGTCATTCAGAGGGCCAGATTTTAACATGTATAAGCTATTTTTTTTTTCTTCTGTCTCTCTATATAGTCTTACTATTTATGAACTTAGGCAGCAATAAAACAATAAACCTTCAAACTTTTGCTTTCTCGCTGCCCAGTTCAGAATTCAGGTTTCCTTATGCCCTGTGGCATTTGAAGATAGTTCTGACCCTTTGCACGTATCTATTAAATTCCAGCCTGCTAGTATACTCTCACTGAGCACTTTAAAATAAGAGAACTGAAAATGCTCAAGAATGCAGGCAGTTACACAGTGAACAAATATTTGAAGTTCACCCATACTTTGAAAACTAAGGCAGACAACTCAAACCATTGCTTTAACAGAAAGAAGGCAGCAGTGTTTGTAAAAGTTCCTTGCTGTCAGAATACTACTTTACAACCATCTTGAAGCTTGTTTAGGCAGATTTCTAGCATTTTCTGCCAATATGAGCAAATGAATTTCCATAGATCAGAAAACAGATGCCAGTATAAAGCTGTTCCAGAGCCCCAAACAGTTGTAGTAAGTACGAAGAGATGTATCATGAAAGAAGTTCCTAATATGACAGAGAACTTCAGCATGCTGTCAGTAAGGCCGTTTCAGTCTGAATAGGACTGGGTTAATGCTGGCACTGTAGGTAGATAAGTCTTCAAGTCCGTTCAGTCATCAGAATCATTGGTAAGTTAAGTTAGAGGTGGATTTCCTGAAGCAAGTGCTTTTTCACTAACAGCTGCCAGCCTCCTGTGGGTGTCAAAATATACGGACCAATATATTATGTAAACAATTTTATAAACAGATGTTTTGCCTTTTCAGGTTTGTAGAACCCGCCCACCAGCGCTTACATACCTCATCCAATTAATTTTTAACTGTCAGGGCAATGCAAGCACAGTGAAGAAAAACAACCCCTTTAAACCAAACAGCACCAGCACCAATATTTAGTTATTTGGAATGTAAAATTCGCTCTGTTGTTTTTAGAATGTTCCGTGTGTATAATCCAGAACCTGTTGTGTGAATTGAAAATACCATATATCATCCTGTAAGTCCCTCAACTGAACTGACCTGCTGAAACGGCATACTCTGATTCAGTGACCATTTGTGTGCAAAGAACTTTCAGCTTCATTATGGTGCCTGTGAAGAATAGAAAGTTTGGGTGGTTTTTGTGCTGTATATTTTATTTCATAAAATACGAAGCAGCTGTCAAGCATTACTGTATTGATCACCAGTAATTAGGAAAGCAGAAGGTTCTGTCACAGCTCTGTTTTTAGATCTTCACAGGTATTTCCCTTTTAATCTCTGCGTTTATGTGAAATAGCACGTCAAGATAACACCAAGATACTGCCTTTCTTTGTGTAAGGAAAAAAGCAGGAGTGCATCAGGAAGTGCCAGGTATTGTGGGAGTGATGTATGGGGTGGAAAACAGCAGCATAGGCAAGCATGGGCTGGGCTGAAGGAAGAAATGAACTGCCTTGCCTTCTGAGTTACTTGGGATTTGTATGTTAAGCAGTCTGCATTTTCAATATATACAGCAAAGTGGAGTATATGAAATAAAGGGGAATTAAAATTCTACCATCTGTGGTTTAACTTGCGCTGCCTAAGTAACTTACTGCAAAACTATTTAAAGTTTACTTACACTTGCATAAGAGACTGAACGATACATTTATTTCAATAAAAATATATACAGTATATTCACGGGAGCAGCTCTCCTCGTTAAAGAAAGCCGGCAGCGTCCCGGAACGGATCTCCTGCTACGCGCGTGCTGGAAACGCGCACGCGGCCCTTAGGAGAGCGGGGCAGCCGCCCGCAGCGCGCCGCCACGCGGCTTTGCGACAGCCGCCCCTGACGGCCGTGCCGTAAAGCGCGGCGCTGCCGGCATGGGGAAGCGGCGCGGCGGGAGGGAGCTGGCGCGCGGCCTGAGCAAGCGGCAGAGGAAACACCTGCGGCAGTTCGGGGAGCAGCACCCCGTGTGCGACCGGTGAGCGGGCCCTGTGTCCCGAGCCCAGGCCGTGCGCCTTTTCGGAAGGGTTGGGTTAGATTGGCGTGTTGGCAGAGTCCCTAGCGCCGGTGAATTGATGAGCTTTTCCCGTAGCACGTGTCTGCCTTCCCCGCTCCGCGGGCAGTGGTAGTGCCACGGCGGGCTCCCGTCTGGCTGGCTGCTGTACGAGCTGCCTTCTGAATGCTGCGGGCGGGATCGATGCCTGCGCTCGGGGTGAGGCCTCAGAGGGAGCTGCTGCTCCTGCCCGACCCTGCCCTCAGCTGCCGCGCGGCTCCGTCTTTTCCTCCAGCTAACAGTTACAGCTGGGTGCCCTGAGTCCGGCTTACGGACGTAAACGCACGTTGTTCTGAGATAGTCTGCTGCTTTGCCAGTTCCAGCGAGTCCTCTCGCCCTGCTCAGCCTCTGTGAGCCCTGCAGGCCTCCTTCACGTAGCTCAGATCTGGCCTGGCCCCCTATGAGGAGAGGAAGGGATTTCGTTGCAAGTCCTGCTAGGTTCTGGTGTCCTGCAGGAAGCTCGGCACTTTCAGAGGACTTTTCCCAGTATTTATGCCGTTGTGCTCAGGTTCTTTTTAACACTTGGTATTCTGATTAAAGCCAGAAATGCTTTAAAATGTTTCTCTTCATGATCACATACACCTGGGCTGCACACACAGGCTGAGAGTAGCCTGTCATGGTGAGCCCTGACTCTGTTTCCTGAAGGAGAATTGTTTGATGCTCTGGCTTTAAGCTTTCTTGCAACTGCTCTAAGGCTCAACAGTTTCTTCCCTTCTTCATCTGTGTTTATCCTGTGCATGATATCATTGACAGCAAGATATTTTGGTGATTTTTTTCAGGGTTTCTGGAAGACCAGAAGCAACTCAAATATGTGAACTGGTAATATATTTTTATTTCTTCCTCACTTTACCTGTCGTATAGTTCAGTGAAGTGGAACACTATGCCTTTCTTGTTCAGGAAGATTCAGTTGTGCCTTTTAGAAAACCTGCTTTTAGGAGGAAAAAATGAATGATTTCTTTGTGATTCCAAGTTGTTCTGTGTAGTGTCAAACTTGTAACTGCAATACCAAGAGACAGCAGAAGAAACGGGATACAATATTGCTATTCTTGCTTGTTTGTTTTTTAATATTACTTAGCCATGGCAAAAGGTAAGACATGCTTTAAGTTATTTTATTAATACACAGTGGTGTTTCAGTTAGGAAATGAAATGTCTTGTTCTCTGCTGAATGAAGAAATGTTGATGCTGTCTTCAAATTACAGTGCTCAGTTTTCTTTCAGTTAGGGCTGGGAGAGACCTGACTTTTGGATTCTGACTTGTTTGAAGCTTAGAGCTTTAGATGCTGAGCTAGACCTGACCATTCCTTGGTGGATTTTGGTCAGCTGAAGGTTATTCCATTTCTCTTTTTGAAAGCCAAAAGCATTTTCAGTATGTATGCTCTTCTACATGTGGTTTTTGTAGGAAAATCAAAGGCCTGTTTGTCACGAGAACAGATTTGTTCTCCAAGGCTGAAAGAAACCAATTTTGTGATGCTCTGAGTCAAATCACCAGAACAAAGCACCAGAACCTAAGTCTGCCAAGATCCTTTCAGAATCTATGTGGAAATGTTCAATATAGCTGTTCACATACAATGGAGATTTGGGGGAAATCTCATTGCATCTGCATAGGGGTAGAAAGGGAAGAAGAAAGTGTAGTATGGGATCTGGAGCTGAGGGTGTTTGCTTGCTGTCTAATAGACTGCTGCTGTTGTTATTGTTTTCACATCTAGTCTGACAATTCTGATAAATCAAGTGCGGAAAGTGATTCAGAGACTGAGGTGGAACAAGTCTCTGTCTATCACAAACTTCTGGCTACCCTGAAGGCATCTCCTGAGTCTGAGAGTGAGGAGGAGGAAGATGAAAGTGAATCAGAAGAATCTGGGGAGAGTGAGACAGAACTGGACAGTGAAGGGTCCCAGGAGCCCAAAGAAACTGTTGGAGGTGAAGAAGAGCAGAATGATGTACAAGAGCAAGAAGAAGGTAGTTTCTTTTACTGTGCTTTGGTAATTATTGTTTAAGTTAGCAAGTTTGAATAGTGTCTGCTTTTAGCCCTGATCCTGGTGGAGACAGGCTGGTTGGCTGGGTGCTCTTCTGCCTGGAAGGCTCTGTTGTTCCATTGCCACTTCTTGAGTGTGAGCAGCAGCTGCTGGAGTATTTAGCAGGGCAAAGGGTAGCTGTGCTCATTTCCCAGCAGCCAGCCTGCTGCTTCTTCCTCAGATGTTGTTTGTGTGGCAGCACAGGAGGAATCCACATGGAGCAGCATACCAGGGGTTCTCACCCACTCGCTGGGAGACGCAAGCTGTTCTCTCGCACAGCATCTGGCTTGGCTGCTGCTGCTAAGCAAGGAGAAAGATTTGCCTCACAGCAGAGGAAAGAGTGTTTAAATTTTAAGGAAACCTCCTGTATGAGGAAGCATCCTCATTCATGAAGTTCCCAAGGAAATTCTGGGAGGGAGGAGTCGACTTCATTTTCTCAGTTGTTAAGATTCTTTGGAAGCTAAAGCTTTTATTCTCTGAATATCACAGAATCACAGAATTGCCAGGGTTGGAAGGGACCTCAAGGATCATGAATCTCCAATCCCCCTGCCACATGCCGGGCATATTTTCTTTAAATTTTCTCAGGGAAACTGTGTTTTATATTACTTAACTTTTGGCATATTAGACAACGGTAACTTTTAAAAATAATAATTAAAAAAACCAAAAAAGGTAAAGCAGAAGGCCTATTTTTATTTTTTTGCATTAGATTTTTGAAGGAAAAAGTGTAACTTAAAAATGTTTGACATAGGCAGCCAGAAGTGGATATTGGTAGTAGCTTTTCCAGGAGAATATAACATGCTTCTTTCTCTAACAAGTCACAGCTAAAGACCCACCAGAACAGGCGCTTGGCCAGGAGCAGGCTGATGGAGTGGAAACTTCCTGTGACCCGAATCATGGAGCAATTGAGGAGTTTACTGATGTGAAACATGAAGCTGAGTTTAGCTTGGAAACCAATTTCATGGAAGAGGAGAACGGAGACTGCGATGCAGACAAGAGAGAGAGCAGTTCTTCACAAGCCTTTTCAGAAGGTAAAACGTAGTATTATTGTTCATTGGTGATCTGCCTTTTGAGTATCTGTAAACACATAAATTATCTAACTCTCTAATGAGATGCTATATAGCTGCCAAGTTCTTTGGCTACGCTTTTTATTGTGTTGCCCACGTGTGAGTCTGTTACATAAGGGGCATTTAAAGTTAACGCATGCATACAGCTGAACTGTTTGTTTCCTGTAGCTCATACGGACAGGGATTTGTGCATGGTTTCTGCTGTAACTGGTTAAAGCCCAAACTAGTGGAAATTAGAAATATACATAGAGGATGTTATCTTGTTCTTTTGTTTTAATGGCAGTTTATAATTTAGACAACTGCTTGGGGTTCTCTGGGTTTTGAAGCATGTGGATAGGAGTCTGACTACACCAGGATCAGAGAGGCATCAATAGAGGGTCTGTATGGTATCTTGTAAGGGTGTAGCCCAACATGCCTGTGTTGCAGTGCACTGATGGGTGAAATCTGAGCTCCAGCGTTGGAGTCTTCCCACCATGTGTAATACAAATAGCTATGCACACGGGTGTGTGATCTTTCAGTGATATGCCGCATGTTGGCACTTGCAGAGCTCCTATTCATATTTTATGCTGTGTGGTTTTAATATCAGATGGTGTAGTTTGAGAGAGAGGAATACGTATGTAGCATCCCTAGTGATGCTGGCTTGTCATCTTAGAGCAGCAGCTGACATTAGATCTGGGAGGCAGCCTGGTTGATACACGGAATGTGTGGAAGCATCAAAGGGCCATGTGATAGAAGAAACAGCTCATTCTTGTTACCACGAGGATATTGCTTAGGCTGTTGGCATTGCATTTTAATGAGAGCCAGCGCTCTCCAACTGCATGCTGAGTATCCTAAAGCTTTGTTCAACCCATATATGATGCACTACTTTTCAGTGGATTCTTAGAGAAGTGGCTTTATAACTGATTATGGAAGATGAATCACCTAAGACAGCAGAAAGTGAATCCTTGGGGTCACTAGAATTGCTGAAAATCATAAAATCACAGAATCACCAAGGTTGGAAAAGACCCACAGGATCACCCTGTCCAACCATCCACCGATCACTGATAATTCTCACTAAATCATGTCCCTCAACACAACATCCAAACATTCCATGAACACCTCTAGGGTCAGTGACCCTGCTTCATATCATTCCTTGACTTTATTTTACAACTGCTGAAATCAGTAAAATTTACTGAAGAGTGAATGATACCCTATTCATGTGTATTACTGGGAAGGTATTTTCAAGTGTCGAGATTAGCAAATGTCTGGACTTCTGCTGGATAATTTTATGTGGATTAGCTATCCTTTGGCAGTCATTAGTGTCCTCTCATTGCTCTTCGTTAGGCAGTGAGTGTTACAGTGCTGCAAGCAACATAAGGGTTTGGTTTTCAAAATAAGCTTCACGTGTTAATTGTGCATACCAAGCTCTGAATATATTATGATTTTACAGTTCCTCATCTCTTTCCTTTCCAAAAAGAATTGCTGATTAGATGAATTGTGATTTTTGCTTCCTTCTGGCAATTCTTGCTACCTTTCCCCTGATCTTATCTTTCTCTGCTTTATCACTAACTGTGCTCATGTCACTGCCCAGCAATGCAAAGCCCTCAGCAGAACCACAAATTGAGGACAGTAAGCTTGCTTAGATTTTTACTATTGACATCCCACTTCACCTGCTAGGAGTGGAAGTGCTAACTGATGTTTATCAGAGCTTGAGGCAGATAACTGCCGATCTTTTCTACTGCACAGTGCTTTCCTGCCCAACATTTGTTTTGTGATTTAAACTTTGAGTACTTTAGTAAGTGCTTTTTCTTTCCCCACATTCTTTTTTTATTTTTAAAATTCTTCTTTAGGCAATCTGTCAAATCTGTTCCGTTTTTGTAGAGAGAATTTGACATCCTTTCTCTTGTCTCCCAGTGCTTTGAAATAGCTAGTTTGAGCTGTAGTGTTGGCCAGTAGAAAAACTGTCCATATCACTTGCAAATCTGTTCTGAAACTTTTGATTCTGTTATTAACTACGATAGTTCTCAGGATTTTGTTATCTGTTTTAAAACAGATCCCTTTAAGCAGCACATGAACAAAGAACTTGAAGAAAAAGAAGTAGAAAAAATATCTACGCTTTCTAAAACTTCAAGTCAAAGCAAGGTAACGTTGTTCTGTAGTAAGCCAGAGTTCTTCAAGATGCTGGGATAAAAATATCTTTGTATACGAGTGAAGTAGTTTCATAATCTTTATTAGGTATTGGCTCTGGAGTTGTCAAGGTTTTGTCACTATTGCTGCTGAAGTGTTTCTTCTTTGCTTAATGCTGAGCAAGAGTTGGGGTATCAAGTCTGCTGTTATGTCAGCATATGGTGACGCATCTGCAAATCAGAGCTTTTTGCTTTGTAGTCCTGAGATCGAAGGTTTGGTGCTACTCTTGGCACGGGTGGAAGCAGGGCAGATCTCGGGGTGGTAGCAGCAGGGTGCCAGAGAAGTGCACTGCAACTGAGCTCCTGGGGTGGCCATGGAAAGTCTCAGCAGTGTTCTTGTTTCAAGATCGTTCTGTCTTTGTACACGCTTGCAAAGCAGCTAAAGAGGAATTCAGTACTTCTGTTAATGCTGGCAGTAATATGTGGGGAGAAAAAATCCACCTCATTATTTGAAACAATGCTGTTTTTTAAAATATTCTTTTTAGATAAACTTTTGCTTTGTAACTTTTTCACATCTGATTTTGTTTTGGAGCATTGCCTCACATTCTGGTCACCCATATGCTGGGTGACATTCCTTGGAAGATACCCAATGATTATACAGTCAGAGAGCTAGCTGGGATATTTTTTTTTCCCTTTTCTCTCTCTCTCTCTCTTTCTTTCTTTTTTTTTTGTTTTTTGTTTTAAATATGGTGGTCAGAAATGCCAGTGCCACCTAAAGCATTGTATGGCATACCTTTGCTTAATTTGATGCAGCCACATTACAGAAATAGAATGGGACTTGTGTGACAGGAGATTTAAAAGCAAGAGTTTTTTCTTATTACACTGGAAGGTTTTGCCCATAAAATCAGTGCAGAGGTGTGACTGATTTGTAAATGTAGTTGGACTCCAGCACTGGCAGAAACGATATCAGTTTTCTTATCTGCAAAATGGTGAGAGTTGTAGCCATATCACTGCAAATACATCCAGCCCTGGTGAGCTGAAGTTAGATGCTCAGAGACTGCATATTGAAAAAAAAAGGTTTCAGCTTGTATTCTGAGAAGATAATTGCTGAAATTTTATGACATTGATTAAACAAGCTGTGGTGATGTTACGCTATACTAGATCTGGTACATTTGACTCTTCTGTTTGCTTTTTTTTCCTTCAGTGGCCAAGGCTGGGTCAGCTCACTTTTTCATCCACTTTGGAGAAGCATACAACTTTAAAACTAGACAAAGAATTCAATATGAAACAGCTTTATCTTCACAAGCCTTTAGAATCCACTTGGCCAAAAGTGAATAAACATTTCCTGTCCTCAGCAAGCAAACCAAGTGATTCCTCTTTTACCCCATTACAAAGAGAGCTCTTCTGTATTATGAATACCTACAGGGACTTGTTCTATCCGGAGAGAAATGCTTTAACAAATGGAGAAGAAATCCGGCATGCATACTGCTTACATGCCTTGAACCACATTCTGAAGGCAAATGCCCAGGTGCTCAGCAACAATGCCAAAAAACGAGACCAAAAGCCAGGGACTGACAGTGATGACTACAGGGATCAGGGGCTCACCAGACCTAAGGTGAGAGCACTTCAGTAATGCGATTCCCTGCACGCTTTGGGGGTCTGGTCATGGTCTGGTAAATGTCCTTGTAGTTTACTGGGCGGTATTTCTGTTGCTGCTGTTACATGATATGTTCAATGTGCCTTTCCACATCTCTTGACTGTGCCTGGAAGACATCTGTTATAAGGCTTTTCTGCCACACAGTCCAAAGTATCATTGCTCTGTCATTAATCCACAGCACCCACTGGTTGATAATCAGGTAGATTCAACTTGGACTAGCCTGTCTTTTGTGCCAACTGTCTGCCGAATGGTTTCAAAGCTGATGCTTGTTTTGATTGCCGGGAGACACAAGTGTGGGCACTTCAAAGACAAAACAATTACTTAACATTCTTAACTGTGGATATTTGTGTTTTCTGGGTTGTTCTGTTGTAACTGTTGATCTGTGCAGGTGCTGATGATAGTGCCCTTCCGGGAATGCGCTTTGCGAATTGTGCACATTTTCATCAGTCTTCTTGAAGTGAATGAGAAAAGAAAAATAGATGTAAGTAATAAAAAGCGCTTCAAAGGGGAATTTGGCTCTGACCCAGATGAGAAGCCCCCCAACCTGAAAAGACCTGAAGATTATGAGGCCATCTTCGCTGGCAACATTGATGATCATTTCAGAATTGGTAATGACCTACAGAACGTGACTTCAGCATATAAAGAAGTGAGGGGTAATCTAATAGGTTCTTCCTTGATGTCTGGGAGCCATCAGGGCTGGTGAGACTTAGCATAAATACCTCAGAGCCCTATGTCTGCAGTGGCATCATGAATAAATATTTCTGAAAATAATCCATTCTTTGCCATAAAAGAAGGAAGAGAAAATATAAAAGTAAACATTTTCACTCCAGGTTCAGAGTCCCTTAAAATGCAGTGATTGCTTTATTGTGGCAGGGTTGCCCACACCTCGTTTAAAAGAGGGTAATCTTGATTATGCAGCAAAATCACCCATGTTACTTAAAAAACAAAAACAAAAAACATCAGGTCAAGTTAGCATATTCATGGTGTATCTTGAAGTCAGTAACAGTGGCAACAAAATTCAAGCTCAGTACTGAGCAAAGCAGTTTTCTGCTGTATTGCCCATGGTTTTCATGACTGCTAAGGAATGGCCAGGAATCAGGACTGTTGGACAAACAGCAAATTTAAGACTATTTCGTAGTAATTTCAAGCTGTTTTAGTAACTCAGTGTGCAAAGAATTAGCTTGGTTCCTGGAGCTGCCACAATGAGTTTTTTTCTGACTTAACTTGACAGGTAAGAGGTTCTTGAAATTATTGTCCCTTGAAAGATAAATTTGCATTCCAAGAGGTTTAATGATAGAGTGGAAGATGCAAGTCATTCCCACTCAGTCTTTCATGCTTCTCCAGTGAATATCTGTCTTGCTGAGAGCATCTTACGTTTTGTAGCAAAATAATTTGCCTTTCAGTCCTCTCCTATAGTGCAGTCTCCTTGATCCATTTATTAGGTGTGAAGAAATGCTTGAAGAAACTTTGGGTGCTGTTACTTGCAGAAGCAAATCATAGGAGCAGCATAATTATTCCTTCCTAATGTGCTTTGCGTCCTGTTACTTCAACTCTAAGATCTAATTTAGGGCACTTTTGTTATGCCTTACTAAAACCACCCTTTCATGTTTTTAAACCAAATATATTTAGAATTTCTAAAATGTTTATATGCCAACATGTTTTGAGATAGGTGCTGTCTTCCTGGAAATTTAACCTTTTTTTTTATTTATTATTTTATTATTGGGTTAAAATAGCCAGCAGGATGTGTCCCTGTGGGTGCCTGTGTGAAATTCTTGATGTGCCTTCAGCTGTGCTTGTAGTAGCTGGCTTCAGGCAAACAGTGCAATAAGCTGAAGAGACACCTGTGTTGGACAGCCTGTACTGGGTGGTTTGAATGTGGTCCAAATCGAGATTTTAAAATCAGAAAACTGTGGGTCCGTATAGTTATAGGTAATAACAATCTCCTCCTTTGCTTCTTTGCTTTTCCTCTCTTTATCATCAGAGGTGATGCATAAGCTAGTTGACACTGCAGTGTGTGCCTTGAGAAGCCAGGTAGCACCTTCCCTGGCAGAAGTGCAGGTCTGGCTATGCTTTCTGCCTTTGTAACATGATCAACCTTGTCCTTGGTGTTTTAGTAGCATCTCCTGTGACCCTGTGAATGAAAGCAATCAGCACTCAGGAGATCCACGCTAAATCTTTCATGACAGATTGAAATAACTGTTACTATAGTAGATAATGACGCGGACCAAAGCCAAGAGGTGAGGGTGAAAGGAGTAGTTAATCATTTCTACTTCTGCTTTTTTTCATCCTTTTAGCCTCTCTTTCCTCCTCTTTTTTTTTTATTTTAGCAGTAAATCAAGAGAAATGTGTTTTGGCTCAATATTGTCATGCAAGCTATGAAAAAGCTGGGAAAAGAAAGAACTGCTGAAAGAGTTGTAACAATGAAAATCTGCCAAAGGCTTATGAAATGGAGGAAGGGTGGATAAGCACATTGTCAGGGAAAAGAAGTTTCAGCCAGATTGGTTTTGTCCTGCTATAATCACAAGCATGTGCTAAGGGAGAAGAAATGTAGGGTGTTACTGTTACAGAGTCTTCTGGAAGAAAATGGTTGATCCTTAACCTTGACTAAGAAATGCTATTTGTGTTCTGACAGGGGTTGCGATTCTTCAAAAGAGCATGAGATTGTATGCACCATTTTATTCATCAGACATCATCATTGCCTCTCCCCTGGGTATGAGGACTATTATTGGCACAGAGGGAGAGAAGAAGAGAGACTTTGATTTTCTGTCATCCATAGAAATGCTCATAATTGATCAGGCAGACATTTACCTAATGCAGAACTGGGAACATGTTCTGGTATGGTCTCCATATTTTTTTGTGTTGCATTGTGTCTTGTTCATCTAATTACAATATTTATTATTTTTAAGAATGAATAGTTTTGCTATTTTTTACTGACTTTATTCTAGACATTTATTTCCTTTCCTTTCATCCACCAGTATTTATTTCCTTTTACTATAAGTAATTTTCCTGCAGTTTGGTAGTATTCGGTACCTGTTCTCTGTAAATCTTAGAATTTGGATATAAGGTGGAAGTTTTTCACACAGAGGATGGTAACACACTGGAATAGGTTGCATAGGGAGGTTGTGGATGCCCCATCCCTGGAAGCATTCAAGACCAGGCTGGATGTGGCTCTGGGCAGCCTGATTTGGTGGTTGGTGACCCTGCACATAGCAGGGAGATTGGAACTAGATGATCGTTGAGATGCTTTTCAACCCAGGCCATTCTATGATTCTGTGATTTTGTGCTTTACTGTTGTATTTCATCATAGTTTGGTTGTAGGGTTGTTTTTTTTTGTTTTTTTTTGTTTGACTGGCTTTTTTCTTTTTTCGTGGGGGTTAGGGAGGGTTGCTTTTTTTTTTTTTTTTAGACAGCTATAATTATTTTGCAGGTGGTGATGGTTCTTTTAATCACCTCTGGGAGAAAATCTGCCAGTTGTCTGACTGCACAGTGTCTCAGATCACAGATGTGTGAGGAATTTATCCCACCTCACTGAGGTTCCTCCAGAAAGCAGTGGGCACTGGTGCTTGTTGCCACCAACAGTAGAGATGCCAAGCATTAGTCATGCCCTAAGTGAAACAGATTTATCCTACATGTATAATGAATAAAGCTTTAGGATTGCCGACAGTATGCGGTAATAACCACATTTTATGGCTGTAGGTTAATAGAAGTTTTCAAGCTTGAAAGTTTGGGGTTGTTGTTGTTTGTGCATGTCATACAGAAACACCTTTGAGGAATCTGAGCCTATCATTTTGGCAGCCTGGTGTTACTGTATGTTTTAAATGAGCCCAGAAGTGTCCTATTTCCTGGGAAGTCCTGGGGAAGGCTTATGAGCCTACATGATGCTCCTGGAATGTCCCGTAGCCCATATTCCTTTTTTTTTGTTTGTTTGTTTGAGCGCATCTGTCTGCGGTGCAGCAACAGCAGTACCAGTCCTAGGCATTGTTCAGTGAGGCCAAAATCAGGTGGGCTTCTTGACTTGCATCCAGGCTGCCCCTGCGTGCAGTGGGAACAGCAGTTCAGCTGCTTCTAGCTCAGAAATCTTGGACCTGCTGACGTCAATATATACAAACAAATCCATTAGTCTTCCCCCATGGGAGAGGATTAGAAGCAAAGGCTGCTGTTACTGATGACTGAGGAGATGGCAGTTTTGAGTCCTGTGGAATGAAATTAGGTAAATTAGTCTTGATGGGGTCAATAAATCCCAGGCAGCTGTGTCTTGGGTGATCACTGCTGTTACGTTCTGTCTTATCTTGCTCTTCTTTGTCCACTTTCTTGCTATAGTTAATGCTCTTTGCAGTCGCAATTATTATTGCAGTGCAATTATGTCAGTCTGCAACAGTATGTTTCTGTCTCTGTGTAGCACCTGATGAAGCACATTAACCTGCTGCCTTTGGATTCCCATGGGGTAGACTTTTCCCGAGTGCGAATGCCAAACCTCAATAACTGGTCCAAGTACTACCGCCAGACGCTGCTGTTCAGTGCTCTTCAAGATCCCCAGATTAACGCTATCTTCAACAAACACTGCTTCAATTACATGGGGCAGGTGAGTTCATGTCAGAGCTAAGGCCTCCTCTAGGAATAGTGAAGGGGGAGAGGAACAGAGAAGCCAGCATGGAAAAATTCCATAATTCAGTTGTAGAAGCATCTGTGTGGCAGTAATTTCTATTACCCTAAATGTTTCTGTCTGGATCTCCACAATGCTGCATGATGATCTCTAATACTGTGCCAAAGGCTTAGAGAGCTGCTCTTTTTGCAGCAATGCTTATTTGATTCTTTTGTTTCAAGGTGGTAGTCAGGTTTTGTTTTCTCTTAATTTGATGTATGTAAGTTATATGTAAGCCTTCAGCGCAGCTTGCAGGTGTGTGCTGTTGGCAGAAGGCTGCCTGGAGAGGGGCTGCCTTTGAGATGCTGCTTCCTCAAACCATCCTGCTTTGTTCCCACAGGTGGCTGTCCGCAACGTGCCGCTGATCGGCTCCATTAGCCGTGTTGTGGTCCAGCTCCCTCACGTTTTCCGGAGGATAGAAGCTGAAAATTTAACTTCTGTAATAGATACGAGGTACTCTGTGTTCCAGACTATTTTGCTATGCCCACGTGACTGCAATTTCAGATTTAGTGGAGTGTACTGCTTCCTACAGAACATAGAGCCAGTGGGATTTTGCAGTAGAAGTCTTCATTAGTCTTCTGGTGTGGGCTAGGCCCTGCACAGAGTCAGTGGAATGCTAAATTTCTCCTTGCCGCAGGCAATGGATAATGAAACATAGGAAAACAATACCAATCTCTGTGATATCTGTGTAGAACTGGTGAAGCCTTGACCCTGTATCTTCTACCGGTGTAGAAATCCTAAGTTAAAGAAGGAAATGTATAGTTAAAACCTTCAGTAGTCTGTTGTCTGACGATATTCCTGTCTGAGGTCATGAAAGCCAGGTGTTATTCTGATTAAAACATACACGTTTTCTTAACTTAGGTTTCAGTTTTTCATCGACAAGGTTTTGCCTGAGTACCGCGATGCCATCATGTCACACACGCTCATTTATGTTCCATCATATTTTGACTATGTGCGACTTCGAAATTATTTCAAGAAAGAGGAGCTGAATTTTACTCACATTTGTGAATATGCTAAAAAGGCCGGCATCTGCAGAGCGAGGCGGTTCTTCCTCAAGGGAGAGAAACAGTTCTTACTGCTCACCGAGCGCTTCCACTTCTACAAAAGGTAAATTGTGGGCTGAGTTTTCCTCTGAGTTGCATATGAACTGTTCTGAAAGTACAGTGGCCTTATTCACAGGTGGGCTTCACTGCTTTTTGAACCTATTGGATCTCGCTGAGGACTTCCTTTTTTTCTTAAAAAAATTTAATTTAAAACTTTTGCATATGGCCATAGTTCCCTTGCAGAGCTCTGAATGCTTTGTATACATGGCACTGTATTCAGGAGGTAAGTGCTGCCAAGTCCACTGATGTCAGGACAGAATTATGTATCCTGTGAAATTGGATTAATTGTGCCCTTTACTGATATTCATCTGTGCCACAGTAACTACATAAAATTCTGGGAAAGGATGTATAATTAGTTCGATAAGGCAGTATAGCATGCTGAGGCCACCTGGAAAATATGCTGCATCCTAACAGGAGCTGTTTGGAAGTTCCTGATTGAACATTTTTTCTTCTGTTAGTTGAAGATGTTGAGGCAAATAGAAAGTTTCATGGATGTGAAACTTGAATATGAAGCCAAAATGATCAGGCTTCACTTAAGATCTTAGCCAAAGAGGCTGAATGCTGCAGAAATTGATAGTGGCTGGTACTTCAGAGGAAGTCATGATGCCTGGCAGCATTAGACCTCCCTTAATTCCACATCTGTGGAATTAAGTTTAGTTTAGTCCAAGATGCAGGGTTTGCAGAGTTGAGCCACGGCACCGAAATGGATAAACTGAGATAGGATTGCTGTTTTAACATGTGCACATCATAAAAATTGACAACAAACTTACTCTTCTCCCTTCCTGCTACAGGTACACCATAAAAGGCATTCGGAACCTCATTTTCTACGAATTACCAACTTACTCCCACTTCTACAGTGAGTTGTGTAACATGATGAAGGCCACTGACAGTGGAGTGGATGCTACTTGGACGTGCACTGTGCTCTACTCCAAGTACGATGCTCAGAAATTGGCTGCAGTGGTTGGCATAGATCGCACTGCTCAAATGCTACAGTCCAAGAAAAATGTGCACCTCTTTGTTACAGGAGAAAATGAATAAGTGGCAAGATGATTGGATGGACCTGGATTTTACTCCTAATGTATCTTTTGATGTTACTTCTAAAAAGCGTTTTAAACTTTTTAGTCACTTTTGCTAAGTATTCTGTTCATAGAGTATTACTTTTTGTATTCAAGTTTCTGTCCAACAAGAAACAGAGGCTGTCATTCAAGAAAGCATGGATTGCAAGGTTTCTTCTGTATATAAAGGAAATCAAGGGTTGTTATGTATTGAAAAAATCACTGGTCAGTAAAGATTGGTGTTTTGATAAACACCCCTCGATTGAATTGCTTCATTTCATTTTATGGTAGAGCAAACTCTTCTTCCGTTATTAAAGGAAACTTTTTCCTTTAATCTAAATAAAAAATTGTGCCTGGGTATGAAGGGCAATGCTATTTTATAGACCAGTGGTTGTGCATACCAGGGAAGTGTTATGGTGCTGCCTCTTTTTTTTTTAATAATCACACTAATGTAAAATAAATTCCCTCAGGTAAATGCATAGGCACTTAATTTTAGCTAGTTTTTTTCGCATTCTTGATTCCTGTATTTCTCAGAGACTGTGAACTTAACGTCATTAATTGAAGTCCTGAAATCATTCAGCAGATGTGCAAATAAATCCACGTGGTTTCTTGCTTTACCTTTTAATTCAGGATTTCTGTGAAGTACCTCCACTGTAAAACACAAGAAGGAAGAGCCAAAGCCAAATCCTCCTCGTGGACATCTGCAGCCGTGCAGCAAGGGCAGCCAGAGCAGCAAATGAGGATTCCTGTTGCGTGTGGGAGAATCGTGGATGTGTGTATAAAAGCAGGCACACAAAACAGGATTAAGGCATTTTCTTCCTACTCCGGATGTGCTTAGTCTGATGAGTAACTGACCTCCAAGGAAGCTAAAATGGCATAGCTACTTAGGGAGATAAGTTGGTGCAGCGCAGCGACTGTTTAAAGAAACAGCAAGAGTTGCATTCCAAAACCTTAGTGAGGAGTTCTCTGCCTCCACTGAAGCTAACAGCAAGGCAATGTCTTCAAAGTAAGGCCAAATTGTAGTTGGAGACCCTCATGATTTTTGTTGCTTATCTGCTTTGTTCCAAAGAGCAGTATGCTTTGAAATTTGAAATGTGTGGGCAAATTGTACATATTTTATGTTGATTACCAGTGCTAATTCACTGATTACCAAACTAACAAAGAAATAACCTCCTTACTGCCTTCTGAAGGTGCTCTTTGATGCAGTCACACATTTTATGTGAGATTGTCCTTGGAATGCTCATGCAAGAGGTTGTTCTGCCCTAGCACAAATTCATATGCTTTGTAGGGAATCTTTAAGGCAAGGCTAGAAGTTCTGCCAGGAGCCAATGCCTGCAGACTGGGGTTTGTTGGTACAGGGGCCTCTGTCTTTGCACTGGTTTAAAGGAGTAGCCATTCCCAAGTGCTTCTTGCTACCCTTATGCTGTGATGTTCCCACAGCTCGGCTATTGCCCAGCTTGATTGTAGAGCTGTGGTGAAGCAGGTGTAGGATTTTGTCGTCTTTAAAACTCCTCCTTTGCCCTCTTTTTTATTATTCTGAACAATTCCCTGGTGCAGTTCATGGCAGGGCTCTGCAAAGCAATTTATCCCAGAGTGACTCCAAATACAGTGAGTTTCCATGAAGGGGCAAGCCCTGTAATCAGCTTCTGCCCTTTCCTTGATGTATGTTCACAGATACTAAAGCTATACTTGCTGGAGCAGCTGCTGGCTCTGAGGCAGAGAGGTGTCTTCTGGCACAAAACAGAATTGGTGATGGCAAGCCAGGCTCTGAGCCTGGTTCATTCCTGTGGGCACTCCTGGTTACTGTTAGAAATGGAATATCTAATCTGGGATTTGTTTCCTTGTTTTTAATTTTTGACATACCTGAAATAAGAAAAGATGCTGTCTTATAGAATGTCCTACCTTTTTATTTTGTTCCTTCAGTGCATGTGATCTCAGCATTGCAAGTATTTTCCAAGAATTCACCAGTGTCATCTAATTACCTTGTCTGGGGAAATGAAAATTTAAAACAAAATCTTGTTAGTTTCTTAAAAATCCTTTTTCGTCAACATTTCAAGAGGATCTCTGAGCATGAAAAGCAAACCCTGAGTTTGTTTGGGAAAAACGTGTCTCAGTGAGAGCTAACAGACAGGCATAGCAGTGCCAAAGTGTTAGCAGCTCTTGGGAAATCAGACTCAAGGGTGAAAATGAATTGGGATTAAGATATTTAACAAGAATTATTTTCATCATCTCAAGAACTCCTAGTAATGTGGCCAAGAGAAAGGCATTTAAATACCTGTCTCTATAGGAATGTTCTTTCAGCAGATGAGCTAATTTCATAATGGATCTCTTCTTCACTGGGAAAACTTAATCAGGATAATAGGTTTGCTGTGTTTTGTTACTCTCTTCAAAGATGACAAAAAGGCACTGTATATTTTTTTTATGATAATGAAAATGTGATCCTAGGATAGGAGCCAGCTCATGGCTGTATTAAAGCAGCCGAGGGAGGGAAAGGTGACTTAAGGACAATTTTTCTGTCAAGCAGGGAAACTGGCTGTAAGGAGGCAGATTGTTAGCTTCATAGCAGCCACTGGGAGACATGGGACAAATCACAGGATGGAGAAACTGGAGCACTCTTGTTAACAACAGGAGAATTAGCAATTACTTTACAGCTGTGCTGCCCCACGCTGCCAGGATTGCTAAGCTCTGTGTTAATCATGCTCTTGTGGCCTCAGTCCCAGGAGTTCCTCTCCAGGGGATGTTTGATTTGCACTTGGTAGCCAGGTTGATGAAAGAGTTTGCTTTGCAGGAGCTGGCCCACAAAGCACATACAGTGGGTGTAAGAGGAGGCTGTGCAAGGTGAGAGGTGTAGGAGAAGCACAGGGTAGCATTGCTGCCCAGGGGCTTGCGCAGCACAGGACCCATCTCCTCACCATATGGCTCTGCTTAGAGCCCCCTGGGCTGCTGCTTAGCTCAAAGGCACAGCACAGGGTTGGTTAGTGCTACTGTAGCCTGGCTTTCATCCCAGTCAGTGTGACGCTTTGCCTACACTGGATCCAAGGTATAATTCAGTTCTCCTGAACTTAAATTTCATTCTCTGTGCTGATCTTGATGGCAGAGGGTAATTAATTAGCCCCCAGCTGGTTACATTTTAATTAACCATTAGATTCAGTTGTGCTTATGGTGGGTGGCTGTGTTTGTTTTGCTGGGCGTAATGGGGCTGGTGGGTTGTACCTGAAATGGAGGCATCAGAATGGTTGTAACATTGCGTGGTGCTTAAGAAAAACATATGTGATTATGTAAAAGAGCTGCAGGGATCTTCAGTAAAGGGTGTGACAGAGATCAAGAGAAAACATTGTGCAGAGCAGCAGTGATAACCTCAGAGAAGTTAATGTTATTCTGCCACTGCAGCGGAAAGGAGATGCTTGGCTGTGGTCTTTGAGACAAAACAGCTCAATCACACTTAATGTCACACACAGCACACGAGAATTACATTTCCTGGGTCAAGCCCTTTCCACTGACACATGCATAAATCTAAAGAGATGCTGCTAACACAGGATTCTAGCAGCGTATTACAAAGCCCCTCTCACTCTGACAAAGGGAGGATGTGGTGGGGGGACATACTTAAAAAACGTGGCCAGCATCTAGCTGCTGTTAGTGAGAAAGGAGCAAGGCCTGCAGCTTGAGGTGTGCCTCACTGCCTGTCAGCCTCCCAAAGGGCGGGAACTCCATGGCACGGAGCACAGCCTCCTGCTGCTGCCTCCTATCTCTTGGGTTGCTTTGTAGCTCAGCACTGGTTTCTCTTCTGCATTTTGAAAAGTTTTTTTTAAAAAAGGAGCAGCTAAAATAGGAAGAAGGGCTGGAGGAGTAAACCAATATCTGAGTTAATTCCTATTACAGGTGGAAATGCAACAAAGGCTGTCACTTGAGTCCAAAGGAAAGGGACCACGCAAAGATTTTGTTTCAGTGTGGAGACTCTCAGAACTTACAAAGTGTGTTAAACTGCTTTCCACAGGTGCTAGCGTAGGCTCATTTGCTGAAATCAGCTCATGGGATGCAGGCATGAAGCTGGTTGCCTTGACCTCCTGGGCAAGCCCTAAGACAGCTGTCAGGGGCACAGTCAGATGCTGCTTCCAAAGAAGCCCAAATGGTAGCACTACCAATTTGGGTGCCTGACTGCACTGCACGAGCTGCTTTGGAGTGGGGAAATACATTAGGCCAAATCTCTGTTACAGTTACAGGAAGGAGTCCCACCAAATGTACCCACTGTGCTGGGGGCTTCTGGCAGTGCAGAAACAGGTGTTGGTGAAGGGGAAGCATGAACAGGGCAGCCTGACCTAGGCAATGAAGTGGAGAGAACCAGGATCAACATTTCCCTGTTTGAAAATTCTTCAACCTAGGTATTTTGCTGTCCTTTCCTAGAACTTCATAGACTTTCCATAGAATGGCTTGGGTTGGAAGGGACCTTAAAAGTCCACCCAATCCCAAGTATAGACAGGGTTGCTCCGCCAGCTCAAGCTGCCCAGGGCTCCATCCAACCTGGCCTTGAGCACCTCCAGGGATGGGGAACCACAGCTTCTCTAGGCAGCTGTGCCACTGTCCCACCGCCATTGGCTTTTTAATTTTTCCCCAAACTTTGCATGAGGCAAAGCAATTAATGATTTGATGTAACTTTCACATGATAAGAGCTCTGAAATACATTTCCCCCCTCAATCAAGTATTCTTTCCCTTCTACTGGTGTGTGCTTAACAGGAAAACAGCAAAGGTTCTCTCTTCTCTGGTCATAGAGGGCTAGAAGTCAGCACAGAAAAAGATAGGGTGCAGTCAAAGCCTCCACCAAGTTTGAGTAGAACAAATGAACTGCCATCAGCTGTTACCTATATACAATTATGAGACTGACAGCCAATTCATGTGTTTGGGGTGGGAGCAAGCAGTGCTTACAGCATAGCAGGTGGGTCTAGATTTGTATAAGATATTGTTTTTCTTTTAGTTTTTCCTTAGTTGTTGTATGTGTTTTCATGCAGCAGGGGCTCAAACAGAATTTTGCAATGCATTACAATATAGAAATTCTGCCCCAGGTGGCACACAGTGTTCCTGCTTCCTCCAAAGTGAGGAAAGGGGGGAGCAGCAAGACTTGTGTGTGAGCATTGCAGCAGGAGTCCCAGCAGCCTGTGGGAGGCTGAGGGTTGTACTTTCACTGCGTTGTGTTCTACTGAAATTGTTGAACTAATGAAAATAAACTCAGTTTGCAGCAGAGAAGTGATCAAACCAAGTGAAAATGTGTAACCTTAAGCTTCTTCTCTTGCATGGGAATTTGCCAAACTTTCTTTCACCAAAAGGAACGTAACTAAGGCTGAATGCCCTCAGTGGACAGAATGCTGATGCCTTCCATTTCCAAGCAAAGCATTTGGGCTTTTCAGCAAAATAAATCTCATAAATCATTTTGTTCTGCAAGGTTTAGAGCAGTCTCTTAAACCAGAACTCCTTGCCAGGACTCATCTTCTGCACAAACTTCTCAGGTGCTCACATTGTGGGTGATACTGAGGTAAACATACATGAGGAGCCCAACTCACACGAGAAACATCAAAACAGAGGTATGTGGGGTAACATGTTTCAGTGTCCTTGGCTCTTATCAGAGTGGGATTTGCTGTAGTTTCATTTTCTTCCCAGTTTCAGGATACAAAGCCTTGTTAAATTCAGGCATGTTGTGGATGCCCCATCTCTGGAGGCATTCAAGGCCAGGCTGGATGTGGATCTGGGCAGCCTGCTGTAGTGGTTGGTGACCCTTCCCACAGCGGGGGGGATTGAAACTAGATGATCTTTGATGTCCTTTTCAGTCGAGGCTGTTCTATCATTCTGTGTTATTGCATGCGTTTTTTTCTGCTAACAGATACCATTCCAGAAAGTGGCACTGTACATAGGAAACCATTTAAAAACCAAACCAGGGACAACTCAGCTCTTTGGCACCTGTAGTTACCTGCAGAGCATTCAGGCGTTCCCCTACACTGTGCTCCCAGTTCCCTTCTCCTTTCTCCATGCAGGTAGGTTCCTGACTGACCTGTCACATGGGAATAACAATAAAAAGTCCCAGTGATTCACAGCCAGGACGTGAGG